AAAAGAAGTCTTTGAAATGAGATTTTGATGTTAAGTGTCTCTTCCAGCAAATTAATCAACAGCTAAATCAAATCAGCCTGTAGAAGGGCCGGGTTAATATTTGCAGAGTGAAAATTCAGCCAGCCACATTCTAGTCTTGCAATCAGGGAAAACCTATGACTCTTAATGCTCAACCCTGCAATCACAGCCCCCAGGCTACTGTGCATCCGAAGACCCTCACTGAAACCAATGTGGCCCCACAAAGGGGTAGGAAGTCTTCTTAAAGCACAATTCAAGCCTTTGATTTAAACATTTCAATAGTGCAGCAACACGATTCTACTATGAGATGCAGCCTGTTCTGCTCAGTGCTTGCCCAGAACCCTGCCTTCTTGAATGGTGTCTACAGACACATTGCAGGGTTGATCCTTCAGTATTGCCTATCCCAGATGTTACAAAATGATGACTGGAACCCCTTGTTTTTCTCCTCCCCTCTCCCCAAGAAACCAGACAAAATTAAAAGATTAGCTTAACAGTCATGATTTTTAAAGAATAGTACGTTTGGGTTCTTTTTCTTTGCCCTTTAATTTTAGAGCCATTGGCATACAATTGTTTTCTAGCTATTTTCTGCAACTTTGAGCCATGTAAACCTCATTTTTTTTTTAGGAAGAACGGTTCTTTCGAAAAAGGGGTTTTTTTCTCAAAAGAACTGTGTCTAGAATACTTTCTTTTTCGAAAGAACCTCTTTCAAAAAAGCAAACAGAAGAAGATATGCAAATTCACACCACATTTGCATATCTTCTTTTGAAAGTGAAAGCAAATCTAGATGTGCTTGTGAAAGAAAGAAAGAAAGAAAGAAAGAAAGAAAGAAAGAAAGAAAGAAAGAAAGAAAGAAAGAAAGAAAGAAAGAAAGAAAGAAAGAAAGAAAGTGATACCTAATGATACAATTCCCCAAGCCAAGGTTTTAAGGAAAACTCAAAATATCACAAAACTCACAAAGGCTGTGTCCAGACTCAGGGGTTTTTTCGAAAAAAAGTAGCCTTTTTTCGAAAAAACTTCCCCTGCGTCCAGACTCAAGCCGCGTTCTTTCGAAATTAATTCGAAAGAATGCGGCTTTTCTTTCGATGGCGGTAAACCTCAATTTACGAGGAAGAACGCCTTCTTTCGAAAGTTCCTCTTTCGAAAGAAGGCGTTCTTCAATGTAAATAGGGCTTCTTCGAAAGAGAGCATCCAGACTCACTGGATGCTTTCTTTCGAAAAAGCAAGCCGCTTTTTCGAAATTTCTCCGTGCAGTCTAGACGCTCTCTTTCGAAAGAGGCTTGCAGTCTAGACATAGCCAAAGGAAAAAATCACAAGAGCTGGCAACGCTGCAGTTGTGAGAGAGTTAAAAAAGCACACCCCCGGGGTATATGGCTCCTCCCCTAAGTAAGACCCTCCCAGATACAAATCTTCTTTCCAAACATGGGCAAGTATGTCTGTGGTTTCCGATGCTTAGAAATGGTGTAAGGCCTTCAGAAATGTGGCACTTAAACACTGTGGCATTGAAGAAGCCCTTTCTTCGGTTCTTAATTTTATCCATGCATAATGCAATCCATCTGAATTCCTTCAGGGAGTGCCTGCTGCCATTTGGACTGGAGAGGGAGGAAACACAGTTGGAAACAACTTGCATCACTTCAAATAAAATACATCATTAAAAGCACAATGTTCAAACCTCTGGCTGATTGCCAGATGCACACTAATTTATGAATATGTTATGTGCTTCCCGTACATCACCAGGGGCATCCCAGTGGAGTGATGGATTTTCAGCATCTGGTACATATGATTTTAGTACTTGCTGTTTCCTTTGTCTGCTCGGGATGAGCTGAGAGTTCTACAGGAAGAGAAAGGGACACGCACTATTTCTCACCCAGCCATAATATATCCGCTTTTCTCCTTCCCCTCTGGCACTTTCCTTGCTGTCCCCACTGATGGTGGCAATTGCTAAACTTCACCTTCATACATGATAGCATAGGTGATGCACCTAACTTTGAAAACCCTGAGATTGTTTGTTTGTTTTAAATCAAGAAGCAGCAGCCTGCTGGGCTCTCCAGGAGTGGCCATTTTATAGCTCTGTGAGTGTACATGACACTTGATAGGCAAATAAGATGACCAGTGGACCACACTCAAGTCTGGCATAAGTGGAGTGATATCAGTTACCGTGAGAGGCGTTGCATTCTCTATCACTTGAATTCTTTAACTCACGGGATGTTTTTTTGAAAGCAATGTTGTAGCCATAGGCATGCGCAGCACATTTCATTAGGGTGTGAACCCAGGGAATTTTTTTTTTAAAGGCGAACATTTATTGAATACTCAGTCCTAAAGGACATTATTTTTATTCATCAAACAAACTAAAGAAACTAAAACTTAACTAAACTTAATTTTTTTTAGATTAACAACTAAACTTTACTTAAAAAATACAACTTAAGTATGAGACATTGTGCTTCTTAGTTTGTTTTTTACATGTGCAATTCAGCTCTTCTTGCATAGTACAGCAATCCATACTTTAAAACGAAACGAGCGTATCATGCGATTAAATTAAAATGCAAAGCCACTTTTTTTTTTTTTTTTGAAACATTATAGAGTTACCAGGTAGTCTTAAAAAAAATACTGCACACACTTCATGGGGAGGGGGAGGAGGGACCGGCCA